CGGTGAGGTGACCGGCCTAGCGGCCCCGCTCGGGGAGACGTGCGAGCGGTCGCGTAAGCGGCGGACGGGCGCGGCGCGCCTCGCCTCCCTACTCCTCGCCCCGCACCGCCATTCTATTCCTCGCCGAACACCGCCTCGAGCGGGGCCGCTAGGCCGGTCACCTCACCGCGCGCTTACATTCGCCAGTAGGTTGAGCTAATACGGCGATTTTTAAAATTTCGTATCTCGATAACTATTCGTCCAAGCGCAAAATAGTACAATACTTTTCTGTTTGTCTTAGTCCCCTCTACCTTCCCATGACCGGACGTCAAAGTCTTACGTAGCACCCTGTATAATCAGACGAACATCCAAAGCATGCGTAATTAAATAGCTTAACGTGCAATGTTGCTAATAGCTTCCGGTATTACATTCTTGATTAAAGATCTTCACTAGGTAAATTCTCCCCCCCCCCCCAATTTATAATTAACGCTAACAGCCAGGCAATTGATAATACACAATTACTGACAGGGATTTTCGAGCAACTTCATAAGATTCTTATATCGTTTCCCATTTACAAAATTAGTTGAATTTAATTGTTGCTTGTACTGTACTTTTAATTTAGCTCCTTCGATGGTAATTAATGACCGATCTTAATAATTGAAGTTTTAAGCATGAAACAACAGTTCTTGCACAAGGAAATATTTTGAGTTTGAATAATGAATAGTTCGTATCGATGCTTTAAGGAAACTGAAAAGAGCCAATTACAATGAAATGCACAGAATATTCTAAAATTATCTTTCGATTGCAAATTCTTTAACAAATCTAAAGATGATCTTTCTTTAGCACAGAGCTAGCGAAACATCGAAAAAATTATTGATTGCACTTTCTTCATCGCATGTTACTTCATAAGTCACGGTAATCCAGTGTATTTTCGGACAAATGTGTTTCACTGAAGAAATATTAAAGGACACAAAATATATTCTATTCTGCCGCAGAGCACTGCTACTTTCAAGAAAGAATTTTCTAAAGACATGTGCAAAGCTAAATCCGAATTGTGCGTTATTTCCCGTTTCCTTTGCTTAAAACCCTACACAAGTAAGGTTCCAAATTTTTAAACATTTAAACAAATAAAATAAAATAAGAAAAGCATGTGCATGAGAGTGCATGAAAATTTTTTAGTTTTTTTTTCATAAAAAGTGAAAAATCTGTTTTTTGATGGTGCCTCCGGCATCTCCCGTGGGCTTGTCTATGCCTTTAATATTCATATTTTGAAATTCGTTCAGTGAAATGCATTTGCTGGAGAAAAATCGATTGCCGTGACTTATAAAGTAACCCTTGTATGAAAACAAAAGATTGATATACTAAAGTGCAAGTATCCCTATTTCATAAGCAAATTATCGTATTGAGTGATAGACTAATTAAAAACTTTTCTTAATTTTATGCACCTTAATTAATACAATTAATTTATAAGCCTGTTAATAACAAATAGTCTCGCTGATGAAGTAATAACTTTATGCAAAAGAGTTGTTCAAAATTATTAGAATGCATACTTACCGCAGTCCTCGAAAACGAAAGAAAGGGAGGACGTTATGCTGCACAGGACACATAATAACGACAAAGCGACACTGATTCGCGTCATGTTGCTTCCACGATTTTCACGCAGATATCAATGATGTTGCATGCGATCCTCGCACTTAAATTTATAAGCGCATCACTGCTTATCTAACATGAAAACGTAATTTATCTCATTACGCTAATAATAGACCATTATTATTACAAATGGTTTCATAAATGGTATGATGCGACTCCGTTTCTCGTTCATACATGTTGCGAGAGAGAGAGAGAGAGAGAGAGAGAGAGAGAGAGAGAGAGAGAGGGGGGGGGAGCACATAATTATTAATACAAATTAAATATATGCTTGAACTGTTCCTTGTAAACATATGTTAAACTCACGCATTTTCTTTTTAAATTTAACAATATGATTCATAACACATTTATGTATGTATAGTATCTATAATAATAAATCACAATGCACGTTTTCGATTTCTATTCGCCACAGATAAAAATTAAATTTTTCGCGGTATATACATACAAGAATATTACAAGAACATAGATTAACAAGACAGATCGCCAAAGGCCCGGGTGAAATCGAGACCACTATAGGTACACTTTGCCTCTTACCGACAGCTTTGCCCCTAGGTGCGAATCTGCACTAAATATATTCGATTTTATCGACAAATTTTGCCTTTGGAGTCCAAACAATATATATTAAATTAATAGACAGAAAGAAACCTGAGAGCGGCCACGCCGGCGCTATTTATCTATGATTATCTATCAAATTATCACATTTAATATTTTTAATATACATCAAATATGCCAGCAGCAATTGTATTAAAATCAATTATATAATTTATAAAAATTATTTTTCGAATTGAGTTATTTAGTAGGACTGGTAATTTCCTTCAAAGGTTTCGACATTCGTACTTCGAAACTTTAAATTACTTCGAAGTTTCGAAGTATTTATTCGTGTGAGTAGCGAATTTATTCAAAGAATACTAAAAATATTGCAAATAAAAGGTATTAACAACGAAAGAATGTGAATCGCCAGTAGTTGATTAACGATAAAAAGAATTGTTGGACGACTTTAGACTGGCAGATGGTTCCTTAAAAAAACTTAAAAAATTGTTAAATACTTGGCGCTGCTAAACCAAATGTTAATTGCGCTCTTCCTCCTTCTTTACAAAAGTGTTAAACTCTTTCTTTCTTTTGTGCATGGCATACGTGTGCGTGTACGCGTACGAAATGTATCTACAATTAATCTGCGATCTACAAATGTAGATGCCGTTACTTTAATAAAAAACTTTTCACTCACCGAGTTGATTCTGCAATGAATAGATTCTGCAAATCTCCTCCTCTACTCAGGTGTGTCCTCCTCTCAGGTGTCGTTGTCTCAGCTGCCCTCCGACACACTCGCGAATTTACACTTCCGTTTGTAAAGTCACTTGTCACTGTCACTGTATCCAAACGCCACTTCACTCGCGAATTTACACTTCCGTTTGTAAAGTCACTTGTCACTGTCACTGTATCCAAACGCCACTTCACTCGCGAATTTGCACTTCCGTTTGTAAAGTCACCTATCACTGTCACTGTATCCAAATGCCACTTCTTCGGTTTTCACCTGTCCGATTGTCACTGAGTCCGATTCCCCCTACGAACTGTTCGATTACATCAAGCATCGATGGCAAATCGCGGGAATTCAGCGATCGCACGATGATATCAATCACTGATTATTTGCAGAGAGCGATCGCGGTTTCTTCCCGCACTTGTCGCGAACGCGTATCACGAAAGAATAATATACGATATGCGGCGCGGGCATAACCGATCAATTAGACTGCCGCCGCGTGAATGATCGAGCGCGGATTCCAATACATTGTTTTCGACCGAGGTGTTCACGGCGCTACGTCATTTCTTGGAATCCGCGCTCGGTTTTTACGGTGTTTACGGCGCCGTACGCAGGATCACGCGGTGACGGTATGCATATCGAATATTTCATACGTAATGTCGAGAGAGATATTGTCTCGTACAAATATTATATACTTTTAATTTTATAATATAATTATTTCTTTTTTAATATTGTATGCATTGTAAAGTGAATTATAAGAAAACTAGAAATAGATAATAAAATTGTAAAAAAATCACATTGTAAAGAAAAGAGGACCGCCGATCCAAATCGGCGCCCAGTGAGAAATGATTCATCGATCGATGTCGAAACGATGTCGAATCGACGTCAATTTGACGGTATCGATGTCGATTCGACATCGTTTCGACATCGATCGACGAATCATTTCTCACTGGGCGGGGGTGGTGAAGGTCCTCTATAGATCCGAGTTTTTATCGAATAAAATTTTAGTTCAATTGGATTCACAGTCTTTTATTCGATAGATTTTCGTTTGTAATTTATATCAATAGACTTACGATTACAATTTGATTTTTTATTCATTTTAAAAATATGCTCTTCGAGCTCCCATTTCAAATATTGTTTGAGCTGCCGGCTTCTTCTTCTTCTTCTTCTGGTTAAATGGCGCCCAGCTTCCATTTTAAGCTGACACGGCCACAGTGATGCCAGCTTGGACTACCAGCTACATCGCTGTCGCGATAGTGGGGATAGCACGTCTGCGCGCGCACGCACGCACACAGGCAACACACCGCATATACGCGTCGAGCGCACACGTATATGCGGCGTGTTGCCTGTGTGCGTGCGTGCGCGCGCAGATGTGCTATCCCCACCATCGCGACAGCGATGTAGCTGGTAGTCCAAGCTGGCATCACTGCACGGCCATTGAGCTGCCGGCGATACCGACTGAGCTGTGAGATCGTGTCACGGTTGTCCAAACGACTCCCGTGTCGTGGCGCCGCAGCGGTCCGCTTCTGCCAAGTGCCAGCATCAATCGTGAGGAAGTGACGTTCTTACAGCGCACCGTCCACGTAGCGTTTTGAGTATTCGTGTGTCGCGCAGAGAGCGGTGCGTCCCAGACGTCCCAGTGTTCACTAGAAACGACATCTCGTGCCGTGCGCTCGCTGTGCAACGCGTAACGTGAGTATCGCGTGTCTCCGTCTCGTTGGAGTATTTTTGCCCACGAATTCTATTCCTTTCTCGCGAGAAGAGCGTCCGCCCGCGCGGTTCTTTGCGAAAAGATTCGAACTTCTCGACATAACCCAGATCCTACTTGTCGCATCGATGCCCAAGGCATCTTCGTATATTATTAAAGTATCTTTGGTGAACCGAAGTAGTGTGACATAAATTTGACAGTGTTACGCAGAATAGTCGACCGATACGTTTTCTCTTATCCGCATACAAAGACTAGAGGTTCTCATATAATATACATTTTATCCGCTATATCAAAATACAAATATATCTTACACAGATGTCTTGTATCTGTACGCTGAGCAATGTGTCTTTTTCATTCTGACGCGATTGCGATGGTAAATTTGTTTCTTTTGCAACGAAATTTTTTATTATTACCTTCGATCGTCTTTTGCCTGCAACAACGTCCAGCTATTCGCCTATTTTATTCCAAGTGTACGGAAAATATAACTGCGAAGAAAGTAGACTTGCTATTGTAGTGCGACCACGGAATACGATTGGCTGTGTTCAGCAGAAGTTAGCGCTTAATAAGCGCTTTATGCTGATTGGATAGATCTAGAAGAATAGCTCTATTTCAGCACAGATCTGAAAGTACAATCCAATGAGCGCAAAGCGCTTGGCAAGCGCTAACTTCTGCTGGACACAGGCGTTGACTATTGATGTTCAATATGGAGGCTCGAAGAACGTCAGAGAATTGGAATATACACTCTAGATATTTATGTTGCTTGGCCGACGAGGTGTTTTCGAAACCATATCCAAGTGACTTCTATTTCTTTGGCAGTTTTCCAGCCGCCATGGATCAAATCAAGAAGCTCACTGAACCCGGCCGCCAGTTTGCCAAGGATAGCATCCGGCTTGTCAAAAGGTGCACCAAGCCAGATCGCAAAGGTAAACTTCACTTTGATTACGTGTAAACGAGGAGAATGCGACGACTGGCCACGCAAACTCACTTTTTCTACGTTACAGAATTTCAGAAGATTGCTATTGCCACTGCGATTGGTTTCTGTATAATGGGCTTCATAGGATTCTTTGTTAAGCTAATCCACATCCCGATCAACAATATCATTGTGTAAGTACTTGCGGGATACCGTTTTATCTTGAATTGTTCAAGAAGACGCTAAGCGTATGTTTCTCTTCTTATTTTCAGAGGTTCATAAAATTACTCCTGGAGATTCCCATCGATATTGTTAAGAGAGTTATTGATAAGGTTCTGTCCAAGACTATTTCCGTTGTTCCATGTCCCTTCTCTTATTTATACTACGAAAAAAATGTATTCATTATGTACTGAATTAATTTTATGAGTGAGTTAGGCGAGAGAGACGTGTGCGTATTGATGAATTTTGTAATAAAATAGTTATCTAAAAAGCTACCTACCTTCTCTTTTACTAATTATATGTCCTATAAAAAAAAGAGCGATTTAGAACAAGATCTAAGGCCGGCGTTTATAGTCGAATCTTGTGTTCAAGACCGTCTTAAGATTATCTTTAGATACTCCGTAGCCTATGAAATGTTTCATACATCTTTAGATAAATTCAAGACGGTCTGGACTGTAAGATCTGACTACCGGTCTAAGAGAAATGTCAACGTGTAGTTACGGTACCTTGAACATGGGTGAACAAACCATAAAGTCCGATCTACGTGTTCCTTCCGTTTGGAAACATTTTATTTTATAGCCAATAAGCACGTTAAAAAAATTTGTGCGTGTTGATAAACTGTATATTATACATTGCACAATCGTGCATCGTCGACAAATTTTTTAAGCATATCGATTTGCCTGTGTAAAATAGAATGTTTCTCGTTGCGAAAGACACATTGTAGATTGGACTTAAGAAACACAATCGTAACAGTCTCGTTTAAAAATGTAGAAATAAATAGAATGAGTGATTTTGATGGTTTTCTTATGTACTAATTATGTTCTTTTATGATAACATTTCCATTTCAATTTCTGAATAAAATTGTAGCATAAAAGAAATCCCAGAAAAGTCACCTTGTAGTATTAAAGACATTTTTATTTAAAGAATAAAATTTTTCCTCAGATTATAACGATAAAATTTTGTCGGCCGTTTATCTTGTTCGCGCAGAATGTGTTATTAATCAGAAAAAATTTTTACGAGAAAAACGGCCACGTTGCATGGAAAACCATAGCCAGGTACTGAGTAATATACGTAAAAGATATAATAATGATCTTGTAAAAATCTGGCACGCAGTTTCTTTTACTATTACGCAACTTAATATTGCTCCAAAAAGCGGCGCTTATTTCCTAAAAGAAAAGAGAATTCCTCGGCGTATTGAGAAAAAGAAAGAAACGGGTCCTTAGATACTAGAAGCCATGATACACAGGATCTTAGTATTGGCAGTATTTGAATAACAAAACGGACTATTCAGAATTGTAAATGTAAATTTAACGAAGCGCTTTAATGGAGTTCTTAACATCGGAGCTATGAAATATTAGCTTAACAATATTACTTTCCAATTTCGAAATAAAATATCTCCCAATCTGACATTTAATATACATAAAATAGACTATTAAATATATAGAAATTTATTGTCCCCCTAAGGGCACATTAAACTATTAAATACTCTGTTCTGGCAACTTGATAAAAATTCTATAAAAAGAAGGTAATATTTCTAGCACCATACACGTATCGCTGCTGTGTGACACTGGCACGACTACCATACTCTCTTTTAGCGATTCACAAGTCAAAAGTCATACTTGGATTTTACACGATTACCGTAAATTCCGTATACTATCGAAGGGAAAGAGAGGAAACAACACGGAAGACTTTGTCCCGCTTTGCCTTGCTCGCGAAGCGTCGGAAAAGTTTTTCGGGTTTCGCGTTATTATCAAGAATTATTTTATCAATCTGTAGCAACACTCCGAAGAGGGAAAGTCGTTTAGTCCGCGGATTCGTACAAGCGTTTTTCCTCGTTAATTAAAATAATTACAGCATTCCGCTAACGATCAGACTAACTTCCGTAGATTACGTGAGAAATCATCTTATAAGCGTAGCCCAAAGTGTGTTTGTCTAATTCAAATATAAATATAAAGGTGAAATCATACGGCGGAATCTTTCAGGTGATTCAAAATTATTTCACGACACGACGGAAACGAAGTAGATTTACAATTGTAGAAAAAATATATTTCAAGCATTATAGAAAATTTTAGGAAAAATTGTATTTAACTCAAAACTCGGTTTTTTCCATTTTGAAAACACTAAGTGATTCTAAACAATTCGGATATGTAGAATTTGCTCAGCAAACTCGTAACAATCGTTATAGAATTACAAAACACGTTGCATCGTGCTCCTCGCAGTTTTCTTTGGCATTTCCATATTTTTGTTTATCTGTTTGCATGAGTTTTTACGTGAATATTGGCAGCTAGATTCAAGATGTTAACCGTAATAAAATCTCAAGTTGCAAACACACTGAGGGGAAGTAAAACGAAGCTAAATTGAGGTATGTCGTTAGGCACGTAATTCTCGGTTCTTCAACGAATCTAATGTTTAATAATCGTCATGTAATTAAGTGTTCATTAATTGTTAATGGCGTGCACTTATTTATGCAATTGTTTACGCGTTGTATATTATATATTATATATATACACACAATTCATACATACGTGTGTATATAAATACACGTGTATATATGTGTATATGAATATATATGTACAATATATAATATGGATTTGTATAAAATATATGCATACGTACATATTAAATATCATTCTCGTTACTCGTATAATTATAAGTATCCTCTGAACGCATGTTATCGACTCCTTGATAATCAATATCAATGATAGAGAAGACTTATCTACACCGGGGTACTCGCATGTACTCTCTTTCTCACTGTCTCGCAAATCCGAGACACGCGCCTCGCGAAATGAAAGGTCTTATTTCCAAAGTGTGAACTCCCCTTACTTAAACGGGAGTTGCCCGCTTATTAATAAACTGATATAAAATTTTTCGTCGATGTCAGATAAATTTTTTCAACATTAAATCCCATTTAGTGAGTTTTCAAATGTTCTCTTGCTCTTTCGAGAAATGTGACTTTAAAGCGGTTTGAAAATAACTATCTTCCAATTGCCGTCAATATTCGACGCGGTGTCTCGAGTTTTGCTTATTATTTAACGACGGAATATCTTTCGGCGATGCTCACTCGTCTCACTAGTTTTTTTCAACGGCGCGACAAGCGTAAAAGAGGAAATAAACAAAGAGGATAATGTATTCGAGTCCGAACTCGCTGAAAAATATAGACGCAGACTTTCACAGATTCGTTATCACGAGACACGGTAGTGTCTCGCGCCAAGTGTAAGCGTAGCTAGTACACGCGTGCGAGACCGACCGTTACTAGTACAGAAGTGAGTTATTTTGGTTAACTGAAATTATATATCAATTTCAAGAATAAAATTAACGTAATTATTACAATTAAAATTAGTCATATTCTTAATCGTGGAAAAAAAACTTTTCTATTGATGTACAGTAATGTAATTTTTATGACATATATTCTAACAGTAATAACTCTTGCAAAAGAGCGAGCATTGCTGGACAGTCCGTCTTTATCTTACATTATCGATTATATTATTAATTAAAGGCCTTATAAGAGAATGTCACAGTACGGTTATTACGAAGGAATGTCTTCAAGCGTTCTCTACGTCGAACGTTTCTCGAGTATAATAAGAGCTCGTTAGAAAAAAAAAGGAAAAGGTGAAACGAGAAAAGAAAAGGGAGAGGAAAGATCGATAGACGAACAGGAAGACGAGAAAGATAAAAATCATTGTTCGCGTTTACGAAGTAATAATCGACTTACGAGCTACGGACTTACGATCGGGAGAGACAAACGGCGAGAAGCTCGGACGGCTTAGTTTAGAAAACTAAGGAGTTAAGAATAAAATTACAAGAATTAACGAAATAATAATTAGGGATAACCAACAAAATCACTTTCTCATTTCTCCGATTCTCCTTGTACATGGAATGCATATAATCCTGCCGTTATCGGCATCCTGACGCCAACCGTTTCATCGAGCAAAGTATAATTGCTCAAAATATATAAATCAAAAATAAAACTTTTGTATAACATTCTACACAATTAATAACTAGAATTTATAAAATGTGAAATAAAATTCTGACATGCAAACTATATAGAATATACAACATAGACTATACTGATATATATTTATATCGAATATCCAAATTTCTTTCGAACACTTTCCCATAGCTTTCAATTCATAATTAAAATTTTATCGATTCGCAAAAATTCCACGAGCACCAGAGAGGTGGGGCAAGAAAGAAGCTGAATCGAATAAAAATTGAAAATCTTTACAATTCGATTCGCGCGAAGAATCACTCTGTCACCAACGTCAATTAACATTCACTATATGTATATACAATTTTCAATCTTTGTTAATTTTATCTGCGGAACAAAGAAATGTGTTTTTATGAAAGTATGTTCCTCAGATCTCCTAGACATTTTTCGAGGTTCTGCATTTAAAGTAAATTAATGTTGGCGAGACCGTCTTTGATACTCCAAGAACCTTCAATTATTATACACACCCTCCGAGCTTCTTGACGATTCTCCCTCCCTCGGGATGGCGAAGTAAAACGATTTTCGCCGTTTCGCTAAACCGTACAACCGGCGTCCGACGTTGTCGGCACGAAGGGGCTATCCTGCCGGTAAAAATCGGTCTCGTACTCCTCGACCTTTACAGGGTAGTCGGTGACGCAGTTCTGCGGCTGATTCAGGGCCGGCGGGGGTTGCTGTGGCACAAAATTGTCCTGATAGCTGGGTAGATGAAGGGGTTCGGCGAACTGCTGATACGACGTCGTGTCCAGGCCCTGCTTCAGGCAGGTAGGTGTGTGGAGGCTCAGCATGTCGACCAGCCTGCGCCTCTGAGTCTCCAACTCCTGGATCTGGGACTTCAGGTCGTGATTCTGCGTCTCGAGGATTTCGGATTCTTGCACGAGAATCACCGTTTTCTCGCGCTTCTTCAGCCGACACTTGGTCGCCGCAATTTTGTTGCGCTCGCGCCGCCGCCGCCGTCGTTCCTCGTCCTCCGGCGTCAGCTGCAAAGGATTTCCGCATTTTTTATCCCGATGTCTTCCACTTCCTTTCGGGAAAATAAGGAAATTTCTTGGATATCTTCAGTTTTTGGGAAATTGTGATTATATCGAGTCGTCGGATTTGAAACGTTTGAGATCCCGGCTTTGTAACGTAAAAAGCAAGCCTTGAGGATTCTGGAGATGTCGAGGTCCTTCGAGATCATTTCGAGATGTCGGAGGCCTTCAAGGAGTTAGACAGGGAATAGTTTTGAATTTATTTAATTTGCAAGAGACAAAATCTCAGAGCACTCTCTCGGTCTTGGCGCTCTCTACTTTCTTTCCAAGAAGCCACAAGATTTCTTAAATCTTCAGGTTTCTTGTTAGGAGACTTTATTTGTTATATCCTTACGATTTGCGAAACTTTTAATGCCTTGGTTTAGATGTGTGAAAAGGGAGTCTTAAGAGTTAGAAAGTGTTTTTGGTGTTAAGAATACATTGTCAAATACTTTTCAGAAAATAACAGATAATTAAAGAAAAGTCCCCTAATATGAGATGGCGAGATTTCTGCTAAATTAATAAATATCACCTGTTGATTCCACCATGATTTTTTTGCCCTCGGAATAAAGTCTGTTTTATGGAAAATTCATTGTTAGGTCGTGTAATCGGTGCGAAAAAAGATTTGTGATTGAATTCGAACGTTGAAAACCTGCTATCTCATAACAGAGGACTGTTCTCTATATTTAGTAATTATTACATAGAGTATGTTATTGTAAAAAACTTGTTATTAGTAAACACGTTAATAAAATATTGTTTGTTTCAAATCTCGCCGTTAAAAAATCTAGACGCGAACCTCTGTGTCTGATTGCGAGTCTCTATTTTGAATTTTATGATTTTGATTGATGGAACTTGCGCAAACTTTTTACGTAAAAATCCACCACTTGTCTTGAGTAACGATAGACAAATCGTTTGAGGGAAGATGTTAATTGTTCGCAGCTCGTTGCACTTTCGCGCGTATTAGCAAGAATTAGCGAGAATGGACATGGAGGTGTTAATCGACGGCGGATCCGAATGGAGCTCGACGTGTTCTTTGGGTAAGGAGATGCGCGACTACATTACACCGTTAGGTACATGCATTTCCGATACATTTATATAACCTGTGCAATCTTATTATACGTTACTCATTTTTATCCTATTTATACAAAGAAACATATCCTGACATTTTTTAACAGTCACGATAAATTCAAATGTTTAATACAATAAAAAAAAACTTTTATTTGTAAAATCCACAGTAGAGTTTTTTTTCACAGATTAATAAATCTCGGTTACATCTATGCGTTACTATAAAATAAATAAACTACGAAATATATCTTGTGAAATTTGATCACGGAATCCCATATATTCGTTATTCTATATTTATGACAGCGCTGTAAAGTCTGCTCGAAAATATGAGAAGCGGAAATATTGGAAGAATAGAAAGGTATGCTTCTCTTAATCGCGATTATAAACGTGCGAATCGTAGCGATTAAGATGCAAGCGCGTCACTTGTTCGCGCTTTCAAGAGTTTGCTAATTTTAGCAGCTTGCATTTCGTGCCGTAAACAAACGATCCTGTACGCGCGGCATGCAAATTCACGAATGCCGAAACCGTCGAAATGGCTCGACACACGGCGCCTGTCGGAATTAATTTATTCGCGCACGCGAATAGTCGCAACAGCAGTCAAGGACATAAGAAGGATCGAAAGGATTCGTCGCCTGGTCTGAGAACGAGTCTCTAAGCCATGTCTAAGCCGAGTCTCTTGCCGGAATTGCCAGGATGGAATCGAGTCGCGGTGTATTCGCGCGTTGTGTTTTATTCAACACATTTTAAATGTTTGTTTCAACTGCATTTTTCGGTATCTCTCATTCAAAACTGAAAATATGTGACATTTCTTTTGGCAATTCATTTATATCGTGAGTTATATAAATAAAAATTAAAATAAAATTAATATATGTCTGGATTTTTGAAAAAAGTACAGAGTGTGAAAAAATGCAATTAAAACGAACAGATTCAACATCGGAATCTCAATATAATCAAAATAATTGAAGAGTTTTTTTACACGCGTGCATGTAAAATATGTAATCTATAATTTAAAAAATAATCCGATGGTTAATTTGTTCGTCCTCATAAGATTTTTAATTCGTTTTTGTTACTTTATAAATTGCTCGCAAATTTTTCAGTTCTGTTTTCAGTGAGCAGAATTGTCACTTTTCTGAAAAATCAATACTATTAGAAAGATTCAGGAATACTTTCTTGCTATAAAAAGATGTCAAGAAATATTTTAATAAGTTGATGGAACTTTATATCTAATTTAATTTCTCCTGATTTTATATGAAAATTGTAAATTCTATTAATGTTACTCTCTGAATGTTCACATTAGAACTAAAGGAAGGGAATAGGAAATAAAGTTCAGAGAGAAAAGCATAAAATTTTATTTATTGTGTCTATAAATCAACTACATAAAATTCCTAAAAAATAAGAAATTATCTTCTACAGTATCTGAAATTTTAACCCTTCGTAGTTCAAATGAATTTTATTTCATTGAATACTTTAGATATTTTATTAAACTATAAATTTTGTAATTGAAATATTCATCAGTAATAAATAAAATTACGATAATTTTTACTTATTTAAATTCTATCAAAATTCCTAGGAGATAAATTATTAACTAGTGATTCTTTTCTTTTGTGATACTTAATATCATTCGTACAATTAATGTACAATAAGTTGAAGAATTTATCAAAAGACACAAAGGGTTAAGAATGAATACGAAAAGTGACAATTCTCTTACCAAGAAGCTCCCGAGAAAAATCTGCATGAAGTTGATTCTACGGAGAATAGTATGACAAAAAAATTTTACTTACTCCACTCATGATGTTGTTGTTGCTCATCTCATCCTCTTCCTCGTCATCGGCGCCGCTGCCGTCCTCCTTTTTCGTTTTTTTCTTGCCATCGTCGCCACTACTGTTCGCCCGCCTCTTCGTCTGCAACGTTAGCTTCAGCCCTGTCCAAAAGAGAGTTTAATTAAATTTCATTGATTAATTTCGCTCGCAGATACATTGTCGAGGCTAAAATAGTCATCGTTCGCTTTATACGGAGAATGCGAATCCATTAGAATTATCTGGAAAAATAATCGCAGGTACTACAATGACAAGGAGAAGAGAGAGTTTCTTTCCTGATTATTTATCATTAAAATAGAAAATAAAAAAAATTTGTTCAAATTAACCAATTAATTTGAAAGGCTATATTAGAAGCAATATTAGAAGCTTTAGCTGGAATATGTAAAAATAATGTAAAAATCATATTCGTTATAAAAAATAGGAAGATCGAATAGATTGCGCGAACATAATTTTTATTTCGCATGTATTTCTTAATGTCGCAATAAATTACAGACTTCCGCCGGAGAGTGAACTCGAAAATGTTGCAACGCACAATGTATTAATGCCATAGAAAATGACAGTGATCGCTAACATTTCCACGCGGTACAAGGACACTCTCGTGACCTTCGAGGGATTAAATCGCGATAATTAGGGATCATTTGTGTCAGCGGTCGCAACACACAATCTATTATCAAAGCACTTCACTCTACACCCACGTATTCTAATACATTCCGCATATTGAGAGTCGATTAAAAAATTTTCAATTAATTAATTTGGCGGTTAGTATAATAGAACGGGGCGACCAGTGCGAACGAAACCGCGAAGGCAATTACGATAACGATCCTCCTTTGCGATTGCGTGTGTGCGTGTGTTGCGTAATCCGCAATTTGAAAGGAACAGGATTTGCGATTTAATGCGTTGCGCTGTGTATAGAGCGAAGGCAGAAAGACAGAAAAAATAAATGAAAAGAGGAAAGGCAAGAGAAGTATGTTAGCGAGCAGAATCAATCGCTGTATTGTCATTGACAATTGTTAAATGCGGATAAGGTGGATGCAATGCGAGCGTAAGACATTTCTCGTTCGCGTGTCTTAGTAAAAGATATAAAACCATATTTTTTATAAGAAAACTAAAACAATTAATATTTGCTCGCAATCCGAGATTTATCAGAGGTAAATATGTATAAACAAATAAAAAGCAAGGAACAAAGAGTGTGCATTTTTTAAAAAGCGGAGATTTCGAAAAAGTTGATAATAATAAATTCGTTACAAAATATATTTTACAATGACAAAATTTTGGAGCAGTTTAAGTTGCTTGATAGAAATTAAAAAATCTAAAGTATTCGATATGTACACGTATGTGCCATTTCGTATTATTTAATTTCTTAAGTGCAACAAATATTTGAGTGATACAATTTTAAGTTAACATTCTGTGAAAATCTCGCGATATATGTTTACGATTTTTTGAAAAAGAATTTTATACGTCAGAATTTTATCTTATTAATTGATGATTCGCAGAATTGGCACCTCATTGATGTTCGCCCGTTATCTTTGTTATTTAAAATGAAAATGGACTTTTCGAGTTTATCTTTTAGATTTCCTTTGCGGAATTTACTCACTGAGATACGTACGCGTATACATCGTGATTCGTATGATGTAATGAATGTCGAGAATGCGATTCATTTACCTTCTTTGATAAGCTGACTACAGGTGTGCTGGACGCTTGGCGGGCTCGGTTCGCCACTGCTGGTCGAGTCTGTACGGTCCCGCGTGCCCTTCTCGTTGCCGCTGCCGTAGCCCTCGAAGGGATTGGTCATGGCGATCAGCGAATTTACGATTTCCGGTGTCCTTGGCGTGACCTCGGCCGCCGCCGCCGTGACACCGAGAAAACCCGCGGCCCCGGTCGGGCTGGGATTCACGTTCACGTTCAGATTGTACATGGCTTGCGCTGGGCTCTCACCATTTATCTAGCCTGGGAACACCAACAAAAGGGCGTCGCGTGAAGCTAATTAAGCTTGAAAGCGCGCTAAGCTAAATTAAACGTTTCGAGGATAAAAAAGAAAATTTATTCTTAGCTTTCATTTTATCGGCTCTTCGGCGAAAAAAGGTGAAAAAAATTCAAGAAAATTAAAATTTGAAGAAAACTAAAAATTGAGAATTTTGAAATGTATGTATGCTCTAAAGTTAATCAATGGGTTATCACAGAAAACAGTGAATAGTCACTGATTTGCAGTTATAAGTATACCACTGAAAATTGTATACTTATAACTGTAAATCAATTCACTGTTTTAGTGATAATCTATTGATTGATTTTTAGAGAGTGCGTTCGGCGTTTGTCTAAACCGCGTACTTATTTCCTAACTTATATTTACATAAGCTTAATTAAAATTAATTAAGTCTGAAAATAAGTTCTGGCATTTTGGAATTAGGCATTTCGAAGATGTTAGATTCTAAAATTAGCTCCAGTTTGGGTGAATTGAAATACAAAAATTAAAAAAATTAAGAAAACTGAAATAATGTAGTAGATTGAAGGAAATTGAATTAAACTCAGGAAAGAACAAAATATTGATTCGGCGAAGGAAAAATCAGAACGTGAATTAAGGCAATTTGGCTTATATTTGTCCTTACGATTGAGATAAAACGAAGAAGACTGAAGTGAAACAATAGCTGCACGAAACACCTGTGCTCATAAAGGCCGAGAGTGACCCTAAAACTTTTGGGCCTATCCAACGTGGCCTATAATTAAGCCGAGATCCACGGAGACTCCGTGCGAACTCTCAAGATAAATTATCCTGCGAAAACCGCAAACGAGGATGTCGCTCCCTATCGCTTGTTCCGTGCCTCAGTCTCCGGAATTCCCGAGAAAGACTGACGAACGCTTATTATTACGTCGCGTGAAATATCGTATAATAGTTACGCGATCCCGCTTGGCACACTATCGCGAAAATGAATAATCCAATTTTATCTTTCTAGATAAAAGCATATTCACAATCGTGATGACACAAAAGCGTCAATAGATAGATGTGCAATAATTGAAGCATATAACATTTGCCTATTGCGTTAAAAGTGTTATTTTAAACACACATATGTTACGAAAAGATTTACAATTATATATATATATATGTATATGTATATTTTTTCACAATAGGATTTTCTTGGCTTACACAATATATAAAGGAAAGTCCCCTATTATGAGGTAGGCTCCTAATATGAGATAGCAGGGTGTTTGCTAAATTAATAGGCACTTTGATGTTGAAAACTTGCTATCTCATATTAGAAACCTATTTCACACAAAATAGAGGACTTTTCTGTATATAATATCTTTCATATAAACGTCATAGTCTAAATATCCAACCATCGTAATAAGAATAAATATAAGCCAAATTGCCTTAATTACATTCTGATTTTTCATTCGCCGATTCGATATATTGTTTTTTTTCCTGAGTTTATTTCAATCTTCTTCAATATTTTTCCTTCAATTTATTACGTCGCTTCAATTTTCTTCAATTTTTACTCCAATTTATCAAGACCGAAACTAATTTTAAAAGTACTAAAAATAAATGCTAAAGTTATACTTGAATATAAATATGTATTTGTTGTTTCCGGTAGGACATTAGTACCACAGCCGCATCAGAGACGGCACATTCTTATCGATGCGATTCGGACCTTCGAGATCTGTCAATGATCGATATCTATGCATCCGCCTACGGGTCGAGCCAACTCGACAGGACCTGTACAATTGAATTGCCGATAACGAGATATGACCAGGAAGACGATCTTGACGAGCAATGAAAATTCCATCAATTCCGTTTAACAGCAATTATCTTTATAACGTTAATTCAGCAAAAATCTTTATAGCGTTTAATCTTAAATTGATCAATTTTTACATTAAAGTATTTGTTCGTACTTGCGCAATATAAATTAATGCGTCAAATACAAATAATAATTTTTCCACGTGCAGATAAAGGTGCAAAACTGGATAAGCGCTTCGCTCCTGTTTGTTTCATTTTTTTTCTTCAGACGCGTAATTTTTTGGCTTGTGCGTAAATTAAATTATAAAAATATTCACAATATAATGCAAGTCACAATAATTTATATGAAGATTATAAATTGTGAATTATAAATGAATATATACGAATAAAAATATGAATATTTATTATTTATCGATATCCTCTAGGCGAATCATTCATGAGGATTACGTAACGCATATTTTTCAAAATGCGTAGAAAAATTAGAATGTCTTATTGGCCAATTTTACATTTTGTTTTTCCGCGGACAAATTAAACAATTTCCGTACGCCATTTTTCTCGGTCGACGTCGCGTTTTCCGTCACGATTAGGTGTTGAAAAATTGACTGATTATCTGTCCGGTCGCGTTCGGCCGATCTTCGGTGGACGCGTCTATCAAAATTACTCTTGACAGGGATTGACAACCTTTTAGCTCTTGCTCACCCGCTTGCTTGCTTGGCCCACCCACGGCGAATTTTCTCGCATATTTTTTACGCACCGGATACACCGGGTATTCATTATACCTCGACATTTTCACGAGCGCAAACTACCGACGACGAGATTACGTAACGCCGGAAATGCGTAGAAAAATCGTAGCGTCTTACCAACGAATTTATATTCATATTTCAAAATGAAGCATTTAGAATATTTCTAAATAAATAAATTTTAAATGTCAACGTCAATATGCAAATAGTCATAATTATATGCATAAAAAAATTGCGTGCAAAAAGTGTACGTATGTAAGCAAATATAAATACACTAAATATAAATTATGAATAAATATTAATATTATAAAAAGAAAGGTTGCATCAAACCTACTGTCGCAATTACGAATATTTGCATATATACAATTGCATTTACAACTCGAGAAATTTCTTTCAATTACTATCAACTTTCGTATTTAACAACAACTCGTCGCACCGTCACTCTTTCACGGTCTCTCGAGTCTTATAAATCATCGATTAACATTACCCTATCAGATAGCGGTAATGAATCGTGATCAGTGACTTCGTACAGAGATATATTGATCGTGAATAAATTTAAATCCAATTTATATATCCCTCGAGTATTGATCTGTACGTATCG